AACAAATGGTAAACACCACAGCGTACACTATTGAGTTATGGATGCACTTGGGAGGTTTGCTAAGCACTCAAGAAGCTAGAGTCGCTCTCGGCTATCACCTCAAGCAACTCTTATGCTTCTTTCGTGCTTGGCAACCTCCCGCGTGCATCCATAACTCAATAGTGTACGCTGTGGTGTTTACCATTTGTTAAAAAGAAAACTAATGAAGCTACCAACACTGTTCATTCCTTGTCCAAAGAATGGCACCATGGCATGGGCTGCGTCACCTATAATGAGCACCTTGTCTGAGAAGTGGTAGGGTTTACACTGTTGATAAAAGCAGAATATAGCATGGTTTAAAGGAGAAATGGCAATTTAAGTTAACATGTAAATGGTAACCTTGTCTGTCTGTACATTAATAAAGAAACTTTCAACAGGACTTCAACAATATGGTCCCTCTACCTATCTACATTTAACGTACCTCTAATATTTTTTTTTTTTAAATCTGGTTCCAAACATTTTGTCTGAAAGTGAACAGATTTCTTTTTTCTTTAAATCTATCTTCAATTGTCTTGTCTGAGGTTTGACAACACAACCTAAACTACTTTGCGCTCTCCCCCCATATTTGATTGGATTGCATCCCCCCATCCTCCTTTTCAGGCCTTTATGCTTTTCTTGGGACAAAAGGACTATTTACCTTTACTGAAACTGTATGCCACACGGGATTTTTAAAGAAATCTTCCAAAATTCTTTCTCTGAAAATTGTACAGAAATACCAAACATTCAAGGTTAAAAACAATTAAAGAAGCCACAAGATGCACTATCAAAATCTTGAAATCGGAGATTAACCTACTCCCCCATCAGCTGTACAAAGTCAGGAAAAACCGCATTGAAGAAACTCAGAAAATCTTCCTAAGAAGAAAAAAAATTGGAAGTAAAATCAATCTTCTGTTATCCTAATGCATGGAACTAAGCTGGTCTTAGCCCCCATCCAAATAAGCAATTTTTATGACTTAAGAAAGTTACTTCTGAATGCAGGTTTGCAAATCTTACTTGTGATGTGATATGGTGTGATGCCAAGGGATGTAATGTGACCTTCATGTGATTTGATGTGATGTGATGTGATGTGGTGTAGGATGGAGTGATGTCATGTGATAAGGTGTGGTGAGATGTTAAGTGGTGCGATGTGCTGTTGTGAGATGTGGCTTGGTGTGCTGTGATTTCATGTGAAGTGATGTTGATGAGGTAACTGATGTTATGTGGTATGGATGTGGTATGGTGAGATTTTATGTGGTGAGGTAAGGTTTTATGTGGTGTGATGTGATGTTGTGTGAAGTAGTGTGATGTTGTTTGGTGTGATGTGATGTGATCTCAAGTTTGGTGTGATGTGATGTGATGAGGCTAAGTGTGATGAGGTAAGTGGTGTGATGTGATGTACACATGGTGTGCATCACATCACACATCACACATCACACATCGCATGGGTGATGCGATGTAATGTGGTGTCATTTCACATAATGTCTGACGGTTATTTTAGCAATGCAGTAGGTACAATTAATACTTTCACCTTCGTCTCCAAAGTTTCAAAATTTTCATATGGCATAAAGAGAGTACATGTAAAAGATGGATCCTGAGAAAAAAAAATAACAGAACAATAAGTTGACCTACCAAGAGGGGAAATGATGTTACAACTAGTATTTAAGCAATAGAGAGTCACAATCTAAGTATATAGAAAAATCATAACTGATGAAACAATGACAGATTTTAATGGTCATTTGACTGATACAATATAACAAATATTTTTGCATTTGAAGCATTAAACAATGGAAAATGTAAAAGGCATTGTATAAACTAAACACCAACAGATACCTTGTTAGGAATAGCAATTAGCATAAACCCATCCCGAGGCCAAATATGGAGATAATCTTCTACAAAAGCATATTCTCCATTCTTGTTTGGCAGAAGTTGAAGTTCTTTGTAACCGTGTGAAATGTATTCTTGGCTAAAGTCAAATCTAGCATGAAAATAAATTGTGAGAATACTATAAGAAAATTCATCACCTGGGGAGGGAATTCTGTGTTAAATTACCCCTGAAAACTGATAACACATCAACCACAAGGCAATGACATGATATTCACAGGTCGGAATGGATTTTCCTTGAATTGCATAATTTAATAAAAATATGGAAAAAAAAAAAAACAGCCACAATATTGTTTTTTTTTTTGTATTCTGAATGTGAAACAAGAGATGTGAAACAATATCATTCAGCCTTGTTTTCAACTCTCAATTCCATGCCAAATACCTTGCTTCATAACCAATCAGAATGCAAGACTTTATTCAATTATGTAATTCTACTATTAATTTGTTTCCAATGTAGAGAAATGAAGATTGAGGTTTACAAATGGGGCAGGGGAATAGGATTCAAGGGATGGATTAAGGGATTGGGGGTTTAACTGATGGGGACAAGGGAATGGGGGTTTAGGGGTGAATTAAGGGTTGGAATAGAGGGTCAGGAGTAAGGTAAGGGAATAGGCCATTTTACAGTTGTGTACTTAGTTGCCAAGCTTTTGATTCAGAGTGAGGCTGAAGGTGACCTTGTTGTGATAGAGACCTGTATCTAGTTAGCATGATAACAAAGTGATTTACATTTTAAAGGCAGCAACGTTTGTATCATAACAAGGTCAACCCTAGCCTCACTCCCATTCAAAGGCTTGGCAACCAAGCACACAACTGTAAAATGGAGTATTGGGCTTTAAGGGTGGGGATAAGGGAAAAGTTTAAGGGGTGGGAGTATTAAGTGAACAGTTGTTGGGGGTAAGGACTTAGGGGTTTAGGGGTGGTATGGTAAGGAAATAGGGGTTTTAGGTGAAGGGGCAAGGAAATGGGGTTTGGCAGTGAGGAGGGAAGAGAAATGAATAAAGATCATATTAAGTTTCATGAAGCATCAATAGGTACAATTAATACTTCAAAAGTGTTGAAATTCTCTAGAATGGCCTGTTAATAATTTTAATACCTTAAAGATTTCAAAATATATCACATTTCTTAAAAAAGCTTTAAAATGCAGGATGAAGAATGACAACTTGGTTCCAGAGTGTTTGTATGAGTATACTACCTTGGCCTCTTCATCATCTCACTTCTTACGGTTGAATGAGCTCCATCTGCACCAATGACCAGCTGTGCATCTACATCTACAGTCTTACCATCAGGGCTGATAAGAAAAGTATCAATGAATATATTAAATTCTGCCGAATAGCTACAAATTAGAACATACCATCCTCTCCCTTCTACATGCACCTGAGGCTCAGCTTAAGTATGGCAAATCGCATTTCTTTTATCTTTTCTTCAAAAGCAAGCCTGCTCAGACCGTGAGAGCTCCCATTTTTCTATTAGGCATTAGCCATTAATGCGTGCCAACTGCGTGCCAACTTGCTCTGCCAATTAATGGCAGAGCAAGTTGGCACATCATGAAAGAGGATTTGATTTGCATGTGTGAGAATAGCACAAAAGGCATTACTTTTGGCCTGTGTATAAGGTGCATGTTTTGTTAAATTACTGCATTATAAAGACTATGAAAAACCATCTTTCTCACATACCATGAAAGAACCAGATGCCCTGTCTCCAAGTTTGTAGACACCAACTTGTGTTTGAAGTGCAAGTGCACATTAGGATAGGTCTCTGCAGCTAAAAAAAAAAAGTAATATCATTGCCAGAGTAAAAATATATAAAATTCAAGGGTCAAGGGGTTTCTAAGTTCAAACACTAGCAAGGTCTTCGTTGTGTTGTATTCTTGAGCAATATACTTCTCTCTCACAAGAAGTGGCCTTCTACTCTTCATTGAAGTATAAATGGATACCAACAAATCCTAAAAGCCTAAAACAAATGCTGCAGGGGGGGAGGGGGGTGACCTACAATGGATTAATTAGCATCAATTCCTTACTGGGAAGGGATTTAGCAGTGGGCATTACACAAGGTAGCCCTTCTTGTCCACTGTTTCCAGGTCAACTTGAAATTTGAAGTGTTGGAAAACATGTAAAAAATCCATTGGAGCAAGGCCAGACAAGAATCAACTACAAACCCAACCTACATGTGGCACCAGGTCTGAGAATTGAACCTGGGCCACAGCGGTGGGAGGCAAGCGCTCTAACTGCTGCGTCATCCCTGCTTCCATCCAGGATGAAGAGCAGTAACTCCTAACCTTAGAATATCATGGAAATAATTATACCCTCCAGATAACCCTGTGGCTTACTAAGCTCTTGCTTGGCAGACTTGATCTTTCTTTACTGGCTACAATTTCCTTCAATTGCCAGTTTTATTTTCCAATTCCCTCCCCACTTCTACTCCACTTTGGGATCAGAGAAAAATAATATACACCTTGACTTATTGCTTCAAAGAAAGATTTTAAACACTACAAGTCATACCAGAAAGAAGTTTTTCATTAACTTTCCTTCTTTGCATTGCCATCATTGGTATCTTAAAAAAGAGAAACAAAAACATTACATCATATAAAGTGGATCATTGCTCAAGTTATATTCCCCACAAGTGAATGGTGCTTTTTCATGCACACTGATTAGCTAGTTTTTTTATTTTTTTATTATTTCTTTATCTATTTGTGATATTTAGACAGGCTGGCCCAGTATAGCTGAAAGATATCAAGCAGACAAGTGATAAGAATAAAGGTAAGGGCAAAGCCTGTTTACGAGCCCAGTGGCCCATCAAGACAGTGCTTAAATCCAGTTTCTGTAGCATGAAGCAACTTAAGGAGTATTTCTACTCCCCCCTAGATGGAATACTAGTCCAATGCAGGGTTACCCCCCCCTCCCAGCATTAAATTTGCTGGTACCCATTTATGCAATGTCCCTGGTCAGGGCTCAGACCAAGACCACTCAATCCATGAGGCCACTGCACCTTCCAGTGAGAATAAAGAAAACTATCATTTAGGGAATTATTGGTTGATCCAATACCAAATTCTTGAAACTTGCAACATAAAAATTGTATAACAGACTGTAAGGAGAATTACTTAGATCTAGGCAGTAAAAAAGGGTGACCATAATTTGACTTCATCTGTGATGTAGTACTGAATTGATGCATGACAATGTGGAATATGTTTGTTCATGACATTATAAATCCAATGTTTTAACTTTAAAAGATTAGTCATGAACTCTTGCTTACTTATAAAAAGTGAGAATTAAATTGCTGAACTTCGTCATCATCAAACTCCTTACATTTTCTCCATGTTCAAAGTATAGAGTTGATATGTCTCCAGTCGTGGGATGAATTTTTCGGCCATACACAGCTACGCCCAGAGGTAAAATCTGTTACGTAAAAACCAAACTTGATTATTAACAAAATGCCTGCATATGTCTTGCTAGGAATAAGAAAAAATATTAAAGGAGACTGTGACATGAATATCAGCTCTGCTTTCTTTTTATAGCAAGTAAATCTGAAAGTGCTAGATGACTAAGAATGTAAATGTTTCTCTACCTTCCCAGATTCAAAATTGCAAACATCCTAACTGGAATTGTCTTGGATGGTTCTAGGATAGACTTGGAAATAGGAAGATTTTTCATTTTCCAACTAGGTGTCCCACTCAAGCAAAGATTTGTCTCCAGTCCCATAAAATGCAATTTTAGGGGGATTTGCAACATATCCCAAAATTTCACACTTGCAGATGGGGATCATCCTTATCAAATCTGAAATTTTGGATATATTACAAATCCTACATAAATTACATGCCTACATGCATGGTTTGGAAATAAAGAAACCTTTGATTGCTCTCCATTTTTCTCAATAAGGAAATGAGCCTTATAAGCAACTTACTGACTCCAGAGCCCCAGCTACTTTTAAAGCCTCAATCCCTCTTGTGGACAGACCAAGATTTGTACTACGGCCACCGACAAACTCCACCAGTCGAGGATCTGATCAGAGAGAAAATCATGGTACACTCATCTGAGAATGGTGCTGTTCAATTCTTATACCAGCTCAAAGCCCCATGTTTATATTCATGAGAACACCAACATTTCATTGTGATTTTTGTATCATATATTCAGCTCAGGACCCCAAGCTCACAAAAATTGCACATCTAGGTCATGAGAATAAAGTAAATGATCACCAACTAAAGAAGCTCTTGATTGTTAAACAAATTCTACTTGTCAGCACCTTAGGAAATGTATCGGTATAGAGAAAAGTATGGAGAATATGCATTCTGATGGAAGAATTGTAAGATTAATGATATTTTTCTTTGCTGTTTTCATCTTTGTGGTTTTAAGTATATCAGTAAGAAAATTATTTTTGGTTTCTCTTGGGTTTGAGAGAGCAAATTAGTGCATATTTTTCAGCCAATCAGATCCCATCGTAGTCTTCAGTTTATTTGTTTGACACCTTGAAATTTCCAATAAAAGAATTTTTAACCATATCAATTGATCTCCAGCATTGGGTTGGTGTGGTAAAAAAAAAAATCACCTCAGATAGTGAGGAAAGGGTCCCACAGTCACTAAAGGGCCCTGGATTAGACACACACTGACCTCTCACCAGGCGTCCCCACTCCCCTAGCCTTCTCACATCCCCCCACCCCGCCCTTCCTCATCCCCCATCCGGGCTACACTGGCATGGTATGTGCACAGTGTGTAACCTTAACTATCATGAGCTGTGTTTCTTTATAGTTACCTTGGCGCGCTTCGTACAGGTCAACGTGAAATCCTCGTTTAGCGAGAAAAATTGCGCATAATGATCCCACCTAATTATTGCAAGATAATGACAAATCAAAAGTGTGCTCCATTCCTGGGCTCATCAATTTTAACTTGCGTCAACAAATATGTATGCAAAAAATGTAGCTCTCAAATTATTCCCTATTTCATGCCACATTTATCGATTTGACTCAAAATAGCAAATACTCAAAAGCTCCCACAAATAACCCATTTTAATTTCAGACAAACTTTAGTTAGACTATTCCACGCTTGATGCATTACGTAACTTAATTACCTGGATCAAGCGTAAGTTCCTAATAAAATATTTGCATCGATTGACGTTCATAAATTTTCTGAAGAAGCCGATAAACGGCAAGATATATTATAGGAAATGTAACAAAATACAAATAAAAGAGTCACATTACCAATCCCCCTCCAACAACAGTAACTTTTCTTGGCGTAGTTTTTTCGTCCTTCAGTAGATTCCCCGCCATCTTACTCGTTCCAGGGCTACTCGACAACCTCGGTCTTCGAAGCCAATGGTACGTAATTTTGTTTTGATTGATATACTTACGATACTTTTGGTAATTTCATTGCTTACGGTCTTGGCTTCCTTGGGGGAGTACATATTTATTTCTCTCTCCAGTCTTCCGCTGTTGTAAACATCAAAGATGATGGCTATTTGATTTTCAACCGGAAAATGATAAGTGCTCGCTCGCCAACATTACGCATGCGCTTCAGGCTAGAGGTGCTAGGATTGCTTGGGGTGCTTAGCTTACTTGGCAAGATGGGATGATAAAGGGACGGGACAGTTTAGGGATGGGATGCAAGCTATGTCAACTCGGTCATCTTTAGTAAAGAATAAGAAAGATGGTAAGTTTTAGGCTCAGTAAAGAAATCTAGAAAGATGTTTTTTTCGTCTAGTCACGGGCTTAGGACAACGAAAAAAATTCTGAGTCCCCATGAGGAATAGGCTCTTACCGATAGTGCTAACACTCACGAGCATTTTTGTTCACATTTTATCCCAAAAAGCACTGCTAGCATTGTATTGGATTTTCGACTGAATTTTGTGTTAAAAAGCACCATCTGACTTTATTAATGTCGTCCAAAGCCGCATTTTGCCTCATTTTAGTCAAAGGAGCCGAGGAGGCCTGGGGAATAGGTTTGATAGGTCAGTTGTTGCCTTCGTTCCAAGTTGGCGTCAGAGGTAGCTCGAGAGCGTACTCTCCCATCAATCAGTGGGAAAAATAAGACTAGGGGGAACTATGATGCGAAAAACATAAGCATACATGATCGGATTGAAAATCTGAAAAATGTAATATTAGTATGTTTAAAAAATCGGAAAAAGGTGCATTTTTATGTAACCCACGAGTACTTTTTTTTTTTAAAAAAATAGCATTATATTAGCACTTTTTTGGCAAAAAACAAGCACTGCTTTGAGCATTTAATGCTTTTTTTACGAGCACAATCGGTAAAAGCCTAATGACGAATCGAACCTCGGACCTTCAGATTCATGACGTTATCGACATTGCCTAGCTGTATGCAGGACGCGTGTCATATACGAAGTTCGTAATGGGTCTCGCTCTTCTTAGAGAGTCTGTGGCTCAGTGGTAGAGCACCGGACCGCGGAATCCGAAGGTTTGAGGGTTCGATTTCTCACGGGGAATCAAAATTTTTAGCGTTAGCCCCTTGTCAGAGCGAATGGAGGAATTTTGAGCTGTGTGTGGATTTAGATGCGGAAAGTGGAGCTACGCTATTGGTGACGAGAAAATCACGAACAAATTAGTAGAATGAAAAGCGTGTGATCGAATGATAGCGTGACAGCTGGATAATTTAATAAATAATGAATGCTTTGGTAAGTTGCCAGTTGGGTTATTTGGGCCACTTGGGTATTTGGGGAACTTAGGTCACTTTCGTTGACTGGTACACTAGGACATAAGCGTAAATTTAATGTGAAAAGTGTCAATTCTGGTCCAATACAAATGTAATGGTCCAATCTTTCAGGAATATTAACATTATTATTTAATCACTTTCACCAGAGTGTGGAGAGGGTCGCACAACAGAGTGAGGCTCCAAATCAAGTGCGCCCAATATCCCACCCATCCCACCCCAGGGGAGGACATCCATCACACAGTAATCTCGTGTGTGGGAAATTAACATCACGCACTAAGTAAGAAGGTACAGTTTGTAAAACATGTATTTCCACTATTCTTTTTTTTTTTAATTCTTTAGATGAATCTGAATTTGATACTCACACGAGAGTACAGAGTCAGTTAAATGTTCAACTCAAATCTTTCATCTTTTAGTAGTAATGCAGGCGGATTAACAGAAAAAAAATAAGACCTAAAATTGTGAAAAAGAGTATCACTCATCAATCTACATCGGCATAGTATAGTTATGGTTATCCTACAAAACAGGCGCAATGTCTTTTTGTGTTTTCCACGCGAGCAAACGCACGTGCAGTCCAGATGGGGAGGACAAGTCATGGTCAAGAGAAGGACCAAGACTAACCCTTCACGCTCGCTTCGTGCGCGTGTCCACTTGCTAGAAAAACGCCTGCTCCACGTAGTTTTAATCATCAGGAATCACAAAAAGTCCTTGTTTTTTTTGTCTGAACGGCCTCAGTTTCACCAGATGCTGTAATGCTCTCTTTTCTTTTCAGCATAATCGTAAACTCCAAGTCTTTGAAATCGCCATAACTCCAGCTAAGCCAGTTAACGAGCCCATCACGATAAGAACGCGTACCATCTATAAAATGGAACAATACAACATTTACATTGTATTAGGATTTAATAATTGCCTTTGTTCTTCCAAAGAAACATTAAAAGATATCTGTGGTGTGTAAAACAGATTTTAGTTAAAGTTTATCTTTCATTTCTAAGACAAACGGTTGCTCTCGAGGTGCAATATATTATCGAGTTCTTCATATCGCGTTTTGCATTCTTTCAACTCTGAAATCCCAGCTACTGAACAAAATCCTTGTTTATAACTCTATCACACCGCATCCAAAATTCTCAGCGTATTGCAAGAGAGAAACCGCACTAAACTTGGCTTTCACTGTAGTTTTCCATTACGTATAAGAGTTTTTCAAAGGGGTGATGGCCTTTATAGCTAACGGCCATTTTACGACCAACGGTTAACTTCTTTCCAGTATGATTAAATAAAAAACTTTTACAGCCAAACTTTTTTGAGACAGACGGTTAAAATTTGTCACTTATTTTTGACGCCTAACGGATTAATTTTTCTGCCTTTTACGGCTAACGGTTAATCCATTAAGACTCTCGTTAAACTTCTTCACGAATCAGACTTGGATCCTCACCTTCTCTTGCCTCTGATTTCTCTCCACCACTTCTTGATAGGGTACTTGCGTAAATGTCACCTACGAGGAAAGATCCGTTCGTTAACGGGATTGACTAGACTGGTGGTCTGTAGGATTGTTCCATTGTTAGCTAAAGGGGGGAACTGCACTGAACAGATATTCCCGAAGTGGGGAGGGGGGGGTTTCGTATGTGTGGAAAAGTGGCATCAGGAGATAGCATTGATCGTTAGGCATTCTTGGTGCGCCATTATGAAAATGGTGGCAAAATGGAGGCGGTAACAGGATTATATCTGTATAGTTTTTAGGCGAATAAAGATGCCAGTGGGCTTGGCATTTGACCCCACAGCTTTGGCAGTATGGGTATCAACATAAATAACCTGGTTTCTTGGAGTCGACTAAATCATATGAGCTTCAATACCAAGAAATGCAAGTTAATGCGGATTACCAGGATTCGCTCCCCTATTCTCGCTCCTCTACAACTGGGTGGTACCACCCTTGAACTTACAGCTGAATTTTCAGATCTTGGCTTGCTAACTAACCACAAACTGTCCTAGAACTCTCACATAGATAAGATTTCCGGTAAGGTGAACAGAGTGGTTTGATAAGGAGGAATTGCAGAGATTTGAAGGACGTTTCAACACTTAGAACTCTTTATTACACGACTCGGGAAGTTGGAGGGCCAATAACTAAAATCAACCAATCAAAATGCTCTATTGCCGGTCAATATTCTCTCAGTATTGGACCGGGCACTGTCCCGAATGGTCCCGAATGATACCGCACTTGTGTCCCTTTGAACTTCAGTCGTGTAATAAATCTCTTATTAACCAAGCTTGCTCGGGACCGTACTAGAAGAATATCGGCCCTCGGTCTTTTTTTGTACGGACCTCGCTGCGCTCGGTCCGTACTGTCAAGACCTCGGGCCGATATTCTCCCAGTACGGCCCTCGCGCCTGGTTAATAAGATATATATATTGCGCTCTGGTTAGGTCACAGCTGGAATACGGGTCTGTTGTTTGGTCACCTTTCACTGCGAAAAATATTACTAAATTGGAAATAATACAACGTCGTGTAACAAAGTTCATTCTAAAATCTGATGACTATGAAGTTCGTATCTCTAAACTTAATTTACTGTCTCTAGAGCATAGACGATTTCTTTTCGATTTACTCTAATTTTATAAAGCTTTGAACGGATACATTAATTTAGACATGTTTACATATGTCCAATTCTATTCTGATACTGATAGGTACCCCCTAAGAGGTAAAGACAGCCTTAGTTTAAAGAAGAACTATGCTCGAACAAACGCGTTTAAATTTAGTTTTTTTAATCGTATTGTGGACATGTGGAACTCCCTTCCATTTCACGTCAGATCAGCATCTAGCATTCCAAGTTTTAAGCGTGGCGTGATAAATTTCTTATTGAACAACTGAATAGGCCATTTCATTGTGAATTGTACTTTATGTCTCCTCAGTTTGTCCTTGTATATTTATTATGTATATCTTTTCATTAGCTGGGTGGTCTGTCTCAGCATGGGGTCTGACTCTTTTACGGACTATCCCTATGGCATTTCTTTTTTCCGTCTTTTGTTTACTATGTTGCCATTAAATTTTTAAATTAAAAATTTTAGTGTAATAGATTTCAATTAAAAATTAAAATTAAAATTAAATTAAATTTAAATTAAATTAAATTAAATTTACTCACTCGATGCTTTCCTCTCCGTGAGGCCCAGTATTGATCCTTGGGGAATCCAGCAGGTAACGTTTAGTGCAGTTGAGTGGTGGCCATTTATTACCGAAACTGATTGAGTTCTGTCGTTTAGATTGTCAGTCAGCCCTGATGGTAGGGAACCTTGAACTCCGAACTGAGAATTCAACTCATGTAGTAAGATAGTGTGAGGTACAAGGTCAAAAGCTTTTTAAAGTCAACAAACGCCACAGCAACTACTTTGTTGGCATCGATTGCTGTTCTTCAGATTTCCGAGAGATGTACCAGCAATCAGTTCAGTAGAGTGCCCCCGCGGTACAACCTCGTTCCCCGGGCTTTTCCCTTTTTGAATATTTTGGCGGGCGCTAAAATATTCAAAAAGGGAAAAGCCCTGGGAACGAGGTTGCCCGCGGTAGGCCCACTTTAACCTTAAGTCACCGCCTCTAGTCTGGGATAAGGTGCAGTAGTTAACTGCCAGAGCAAGTCTGTAACTCAAGATAAAGAAGTATCATACTTTATAAACAATAAATATATAATTTGAACTTGTTTTGTTTCATAATTTGGAAAAAAAATTGTGCAATGCTGGTCGCATGATATGCTACCATTACTTGCACAATCTGTAAGGGCCTATCTCAGCCTGAGCGCCAATGCTTCTGCAAACAAAAGTCTAAACTAGCCACTCTTGTAGTAGGTTGCAATGGGACGATCGTAAACGGTCAGTAAAGTCAGAGGGTATGTTAATGAAGCCTGAATTAAAATTTGGAATGTATGATGTAATATATCGGATAAAGCTTCTCCTGACACAATAATAAGGTCGTTTCTTGTGCCTATGGAAGCTTATTTTTTCGATCTCCGGCAGCCTCCAAGAGAATTTCACTCGGCCATGCCTATCTTCTTTTCACCTTGGGGCAGTCATTTACAAAACCAGTTGCTAAAGGAACATTGTTATTGAGTATCTTTGTGAGAGGATAATTCTGGATGGCACCACTAATACGGCTCCACCCTTTATTCCCTGTTCGATTTTGCCCAAGACCATGCACTTTTTGATCGTAAAGAGCATCTAGGTGACTTTTCAAGTTAGACCAAATCTTCTTTTAAATGCCTTCCGTCTCAGGGACGCACAGGTTGTGTTTACAAATGTTGGAACACTTGTAACAGGGACATGTGTATGTGTGCACCATTTGGGGCTAAAAAGAGCATTTTTCCCGCTTCTCGATTCTAGCGCTCGCCATCTAACTCGTTCCCAGAGCTACTTGTCAAACTCGGTCTGAGCATTTAAGAAACATGGCGGCAAAAGTTGTGCAAGATGAAAAATCTACGAAGAGAACTGTTGTAGTGGGAGGTGGATTGGTAAGGATTTCTCTGAGTATTCTTGGAGTATTTTGATGGGTATAGCATGCGTCTTAATAGAGATCTAACGAAAATTGTGCCTCTTTGAATTTGATTTTGGTGTGGCCTGAAATTCTCGATCAGTGCGTTCTTTCTTAAGAAGTGCGATTTTCACGCGTTTGAATTATGTAATTACATACACGTTGCAGGTTTCATTCGCTTTTATTCCCCTTAGAGCATAAAAATGATCAGGTAAATGAGCGAAGAGAAAAATGGTCACCATTTATATTAAATCGATGAAAATTACTTTTAGCGTATGCAAAAATAGTTTTGATTTTTATGATGGAGCAACTTCAGAATACCCGTCCACATCATTTACATGTGTCGGGAGGCTTTGAAGAATGAAGCATAACACATTCATTAAAACTAGTTTTGTCTATAAATATGCGTTTTTGACTATGCGTATGGGCGATATGGCCTGAATATTTGCAAAGATAGAGAACGAAGCATGCTTGAACATGCTTGGCTGGTGAAGGATTTACTAAATGGCGAAAAGATTACTGCAAAGAAGATACCAAATAAATTCTCAAAACCCATCGGGGTTTTCATTGTTTTGACTTTCCGAAGACGCTTAAAGATCATGATGATTCAGTATTTTCCAAAACTGTTTGAAAACCTTTCTTTATTTAAACTAAAAGAAAATTACCTTAGATTCATGATTGAAGAATGTGAACTAGCTTTGAGGGATCAAAACAAGCAGTCTTCAGCAAGCAAGCAGAAAACAGGGAAAGATTTCCATATAACCCCATACATTAATTATGCATTCCATTTCATAAAGACTAAATATAAAGGTTTCTTTGCAACACTTTATGCATAATTAATGTTTGGGGTTATGTGGAAATCTTGCTGAAAACAGGAATCACTTTCCATTGATGGCGGGTGGAAGAGGGGGAGACCTTGGGCCAAGTTTGGCTGGGTACACAGGGTTCTCAATAGAATTTTGTACAGCTGTTGCTGTGCCACCTCCATGCGTAACAGCTAAGTACAAAGCCGAAGCTAAGGCAACACATCTTAATTGGCCTGTAGAGTCCCAATTTAAATTGCAGCAGTTGTGTCTTAGCATGTGGGAAGACGACATCTTAATTGAAGAGGCCTGGGTTAGAATCTGCAACGTTGCAGAGAAGTTATGAAGCATAGCAATTGTTCGCTGACAGGCTGTTCGTTTCAAAAACTAAAACCAACTAACATTCAATACTAAACTCAATTGTCTCTGCACAAAAGTGTTCTTTTGTTTGCATTTAATAATTATCTGTTGATCTACTAGTCAAAGCACTTTGACAGCGGTCACACTTAGCAGTGACACCCGTGACAGGTGTTACGGGTTCAATTGAAAACCCTGGTACATGTCACTATTCCTCTCAGAACCCTTACTCCATTGCAGTCTTTTCTGTCGCCAATCAAAAACTCCATCTTGGTCACTTTTGAGCAAAGGTAAGTTTTGCACTCCCAACATTGTCACTTAGTCACTTATAATAAGCTTGTCAGCATGTCAAAGCCCACTGAATGATTTGCTAAATTTAGATTTGACAGGAGCTCATGAAATAGGCTCTTGGATTTGAGGATTTTTTTTTAATTGTGGTAGTTAAACATTGCAGGCTGGAGCCTTGATTGCCGTATACCTTGCAAAACGTGGATTCAAAGTAGATGTGTTTGAAGCTCGCAAAGGTAATTTTGAAATCAGTTTTGATTCTGTATATTCATTATTGGAGAAGGGGGGAGGGGAAGGCAGGGAGGTGGAGGTGTGCCAGGTGTGTCACTCTTTGGAACTCTTTCAATCCTGAGATCTCACTAATAACTGCCACACAATTCTTATGATGTTAGTTTGGAGAATTTGGTATGGGATCAATCAATATTTCCCCTAAGTGATATTTTTCTTTATTCTCATCTTTTGTCAGCTTGATATTGTTTTCATAACCGGAGGAGAAATTATTTTTTGGTCACTCCTCGGAGTGAAAGGGTAAAGACTTTGGGCCTGGAATCATCAGGATCCAAAACTACTGAAAAGAGAAACTACACTTCTTGATGAAGACTTTAGACCTGGGAAATCATATCATGGTTAATGAAACATACTAGTGAAGGCCAACTAAGGGATCCTACTCATTTTTCAGTTCTGTATGAATTGATTTATTCCAAGGGGGATGACAGAAACACAGGGTTGGGAAGGCAGCAATCTCAGCCGCCTTCCATGATATGTTCTGTGATTAATGCAATGGCAGTACAAAGCCATTGATGTAAAAATAATAATAATAGTAATTTTTTTAAAATTTTTTTTAATTATAATACTCCTTTATTCACCATAATCACAAAAAATTGTAACAAAAATTATGATAAAATGCTTGAAAATCGAAAAAAAAAGTGTTAAAATGTCTAATAAAAATGTAAGAAAAACAAGAGGATACACACTATGATAACAATGATTCACTCTAATCATCAAAAATATTTCCAAACAAATTAAGATAAAATCCTTAAAAATCAAAAAATATATGAAAATGTCTACTAACAAATGATCCAAAAAAAAAAAGAAACTAACTAATAAATGGCAGCCTCTGAACTTTGAATATCTAGGTTTACATTTATTTAGCAAAATCCAATTTGGGCCTTCTAATTGTTCTGGATCCTCTTCTAAGGCAGATTAGGGTGGATCTTAATAATGCAAACAAAGTTTTTGCCCTGATCCAGGAAATTGTCTTTGAATAGTGTTCTCCTTTCTTGTCTGTCTTAATAATAATAATAATAATAATAATAATAATAATAATAATAATAATAATAATAATAATAATAATAATAGAAATTGTGAGTAATTCGACCAAGGATAAATTCTGCAAAGTGGGTAGGAGGCAGTGTACTCTTGAGTATACAGGATTGATTAAAGGAAGCTGACAAGCAGAGAGAATTACGTCTACTAAATATTTTTCCCTGAGGTAGATGAATGTGGGAAGTGGGTCTCCTTTAATTAAAAGCCAAACATTGTGGATGACAGAATTTTTTAAAGATATGTCTTTTGGATATTTAGATCCTCGCAAGGAGGTAGCCCAGAGAGGGAGGAGTGTCAATCTTGCACTCTCTGTTAGAGGAATAGAATCACTTCGAGCTGTAGGAGCAGAGGGCCTGGTAATATTGAAGTATAACCCTTGAATTGTCAAGATCTAATTGTTGATTCTCCCCTCTAGCTGCTACAAATTTCCTTGTAAATTAGTTACAAGAATTTTGTTTTAGATTAAGATTACAACTTCTACCTATTAAGTTTGAGTATTCTCATTACCCGTTTGCCGGATAATGTATGGATCATATTGGGAGAAGTTACATGTTAATCACTTCTGAGAGTGAAAGGGTTAACAATACAGACAATAACGTATTTATTTTTAATGAGCTAGATATAGATTCCTTAAAGTCCCCATGACACCTATTTTTTAGCATTAAATTATAAAAATAGAAGTATGTAGACTAGGAGGGTGTCTGGTATGATTTGTGGGTGATTCTGATGTGTCTTTGTTATTTTACAAGGTGATAAAAGTCCGATATTGTATCGAACTTAGGTTTCCCATATCTCTTTGGCTGTGTTAAAGAGTACTGGAACCCGTGACATAACAGTAGTAACACCAAGCTTATAAAAGAAGCAAAGTGAGTGTGGAAGCTACTGTTTACATTCTTTTTAGCCAAAAAATACCATTTCGAGGTGTAGTTTGGGGTTTTTCGAATACCCCTGACTCGATGAAGAATATTTCTCTCCACAAGATTCCTACTGTGACGTCATGGTGCCCAGTCCCTCTTTGCTCGGCCAGACATTTTATCTGCGGATTATAGAGCTTGATAAAAAATTCAGAAAAGGGCAAAATACCACAAGTGTTGCAAAAACATGTTTACGAGTCATTATATTTTGATGTAGAATATAAAAAAAAATCAGTGTCATAGGCACTGAAAGGATAAATACATTTTCTCTGGGATGATTACCATTATAGTGGAATGCTTTAAATAATACTTACTATGGCATATTTGTTACTCACATAGAACAGTGGTTAATCTGAATTTGTTGAAAATGCTAAATCTTATTTCTCCTGACAGAGTATCACCTCTCAATCAGGCAGTAAGGTTGTAAATAAATATATCTTATTAACCAAGTGCGAGGGCCATACTGAGAGAATATCGATCTGAGGTCTTGACAGTACAGACCAAGCTATGCTCGGTGCGTACAAAAAAGACCGAGGGCCGATAATTTTCCAGTACGGTCCCGAGCAAGCTTGGTTAATAAGAGATTTATTATACGACTGAAGTTCAAGGGACACAAGTGCGGTATCATTCGGGACCATTCGGGACAATGCCCAGTCCAATACTGAGAGAACATTGACTGGCAATAGAGCATTTTGATTGGTTGATTTTAGTTATTGGCCCTCTGACTGCCCAAGACATGTAATAAAAGAAGTGATCACCAACTTCAGAAGTGTAAATTATCTACCTTAAGTTCTTAGCTCTTGATTGTTAACCCATTCACTCTCAAGATCTCATTAGTACTTCTCTTGACTGTCTGTCATACAATTCTTATCATGTAAGTTTGGAGAATTTGGTATTTGGTATGAGCTAAAAATCCCCTTGTTGATATTTTTCTGTATTCTCAACACTTGTCTGCTTGACATTGTATTGATATTGTAAGGAGAAATTCTGTCTTGGTCACTCATGGTCAACTAATTCTCCTTGTCAGTACTATCATAATGGGAGAAGTTTGGAAAACAATATGGAGAATATGCATACTGATATAAGGGTCTAAAGGGTGATACTGATAGAGTCACCATACAACATTGAAAGCAAACTAAATGAGTATGATTTTGAGAGGATCATGCATAACTTTTGGTGGAGGCNTCATAAGGCACGGACCTTGTCATCATAAGGCACAGACCTTGTCGTCGTAAGGCACGGACCTTGTCGTCATAAGGCACGGACCTTGTTGTCATAAGGCACAGACCTTGTCATCATAAGGCACAGACCTTGCTGTGCTTGGTCCATAGGTCTTGACTTCTAGCCAAATATTCTCCTGTCTGGCCGAACCAAACTCAGTCAATAGATAAATATCATTTCTTTAACTTTTATGTCCTTCACTCTTTAGGTTACAGCACTTGGCATTCCTATGCATGCTCGCATGATTCACTCTCATAGTGGAAATACGACACCCATTCCATATGGAAAGAAGGGACAGGTTAGAACAGCAGTTTATAGATATTGAACCCTTCAAAACAGAGTGACTAGGATCTAATTTCTCCTTAGAATGTAACCCCTGAATCACACCTTAAGGTGAGGAGAATAAAGGAAATGATCACCAAGTTAAGAAGCTCTTGATTGTTAAACAAATTCTCCTTGTCACCACCTTAGGAAAAATGTAGAGAACAGTAAGGAGAATTTGTGTACTGATACATTCGGGTGCAAAGGCAGGGTTGTGGTCTAGCAGGGCGTGGTGACCCTTAGCACCTTGCTTTTGCTCTTGGGCAGCTCAGGAATCTTAGTTTTTTTCATAAAAAGCATATGCTGGGCACCCTGGATTTTACAGTTTCTGAGCACTGGGCTCCCTTCAATTTTTCTTAGAGCACAGCCTTGTTCAAAATGTTAAAGATATTCTTCTAACATCCCAGAAAAAATTGTTTCTTGAGCTCACTACTTATCAGTTATAAATAAATTAAGCACTTTTATTATCTGTTCAGCATCTGTTATCAGTGGAGAGGCAGAAGTTGAACAATGATCTTCTCACAGGTAAGAATGATGTTTAATGGCATTAATAATATAATGTACATGAAAAAA